GTAAAAATTAGTAGAGGGTGCAAGCACCACCTCTTTTTCCGAACTCCCTCTCGACCTCTCACTTGTGGAGCGTACAGTTGAACAATAATGTATTTGGTACATATAGCCGCAAATGAGATACACAACATATATAATATGAGTAGTTTCTTTCAGCGGAGGTGGTCTAACCCCAATAACAATCAATTGCTCCATAACCACATGAAATACTGTTACCTTCAGCAACACAATAAGGCAGGTCTACTGCATGGACTTCCTTTTTTCTCCAAATTCTCTTAGTACGACCTCCTACGTGCAAATAACCATCATGACCAAATAAGCAGCAGGAAGCACACACCAGCGACAATCGACAATATTCAACATTGATATACATTTCACCATTCCATCTAGCGTGATACTAATCTTATCAACTAACGTCTTTTTTGCACTTACATCCACGCATATTTTAGTAACCCCTACTAGTTTCAAATGCGTCGTCGGCTTATCCATACACTAGAGTTTACCAACAAGACTAGCTACTCTTCTCAATCCCTCCTTCGTCGCGAGTTCATATGGCAATTCATAAAGCTAATCCATACCGGAACAACATAGTTGTCAATATGCAAAGTAGGAATCCCAGGTACTAGCATCGTAGGCAGAGCATGTTGTCTCTGTCGGCTCCCTTCGAAACCCCATTGGCAACAAGTCAACGTAGGTAACTGGAATAACACAAATATGTCCTCCAACCACAAAACCTTCACCTCTCATCCACGACTCCACAACCAAATAGAGAAGAATCGGATAGTTTCCAGTGACGGAGGAAAATAAGAAACTTCCTCACAATACAATTCTCCCATCGACGAATCCCCTCATCAATCACCGACTTAGGAATACATAATGATTTGTTGATAACTTTCAGCTCAAAATACTCTAATATCATATCCTCTATTGCACGGAATAACGAAGCCCATGATTGATCGTTGGTGGCGCATCCGATGAGGCCTCGTCAGCAACAAGTGCCACCAGTAGAAGAACGAGAGAAAGAGAGTTTATGCCTAAAACTCTGTTAAGTGTAGTAGGAAAGAATTTATTGAAGGCATGATCAGATCACTCTCCTTAGAGTGTTATATGCCCCACAACAAATTGTTGGTAGAATCGAGCAAATCACCATCAGGAGTCCCTTCAATTCAAAGTCCGAAAGCAGCAATCTTGCAGACTTATGTGTTTATGAAATAGAGAAGGAAAACGTGAAGAAAAAGAATTCTCTCTTATTACAAAGAGTTATGACAATCATCTATTTATACTCGTGAAAATTGGAAGTTACCTTCCGAAGAGACAAATCGTTTCACAGAAAAAGGTAGTTACCTTTTTCGAAATGTCACATTCTTTCACAAAAAAGGAAGTTATCTTTCTGGAAGGACACTTCTTTTCACAATATTCAAACGTTAATTAATTATTTAATTAAATTGCCAAAAGACTCAATTCTTATGCTTTACTTCTCCCATCAATGTGGTATTACAACTCTATTGACTAACTCTAACAATCCTCCTCTTAGTTAACAAGGGTTGATAATACCGGCTCCAAACAAGTAATGCATACATAAAGGTATCTTTGCGATTTGAACCTTTACTTAGTGTAAGCAACTCAAAGTTCATAGCGAATCAGTGACGGGCTTAAGTCTAGGAGTTATGATCCAAAGCACACGCTTACTTGTCTCTTCTCTAAACCACAACCACCAATAACGGTAGCACTATTATGGCCATGTGATGATCCTGTTCCATGAGCATACACAAAAGTTTACATCTACTTTTGTTAGAGCGGCACCACTCTTAATGCTCACATATGTGACATTCCACATAAACGTCTTTAAGAGTTCTATAACTCGCCCTTCTTTCAACTAAATTACTTCTACAATAAATTAGTATCTCAGTTAGAGTAACTTGTTATTACCACATTGAACCTTTTAAGTTTTAATTAGTGAATACCTAAAGAAAAGGTTGGGTTTCTATTACTTCGAACTATACAAAATGTCTCAATTCCATTCATTGGGATGTCTCTTAGATCATGCCTCTTGGCAATGCCTTGGTAAGAGGATCTGCCAAAATATTGCATGATATAACATACACGATGAAATGATTCCATTTGTAATAAAATACTAACATAATCATGTCTTAGACTAATATGTCTACACTTACCATTGTGAATCTTGTTATAACCCTTAGAAAAAGTAGCCTCACTATAACAAAAGACTTAAATGGCCGAAATCGATTGTGACCACAACTCTATATCTAACAACATGTTTCTTAGCAATTCTGCCTCTTTTCCAGCCGCCTCAAGGGCTAGGAATTCAACTTCCATAGTGGAGTGTGTATTACATGTTTATTTCTTTGAAGTCCAAGAAACAACTCCATAACCTAATGTAAAAATCCACCCGTTGTAGATTTATTATCACTAGCACTTGTTATCCAACTAGCATAAAAAACATCTCCCCCGCAATTCTATCACTTGCCGAACTATAATATGGATAATTCCATTTTATTTTCCATAGTTTTACTTATTGAACTTTCAACCACTACATTGATCTAATTGTTTACCAATGATATGGACTAATTGGATTAGCATACCACAAACAATTCATATATTATTAGAAATATCATCTAATACCTTATCAATGTTAATGGTCAAGGCAATTTGAGATGCCACAAGTAATTCATATATGTATTTCTAGATTGTATTGAAATAACATCTAATTACTTACCAATGACATTTCATTGAGGTAACTTGACATACCACAAGCAATTCAAATAAATATTCTAAGTCAATCGTCTAATTACTTGTCAATGGTATATACTTCATAAATATACCATAAGTAATTCGGACTTTAAGTTCAATAAGATCATCTCAATTGAGCTCTCATGCCAAATTGTTTCCAATGGTGTATGTCCACATATAGCATAGTCCATAAACAATTCTAACCAATAGGTTCGCACCATAATCCTACATCAAATTGTTTTCTAATGGTAGAGTATACATATACCATAAACAATTCTGATGATGATTATTTTGATGATCACCATTCTTTGGCAAGGTTATTTAATCCTAAGGATCCATCTTAGTTTCATTTTCTTTACACTCATGGCATAGGAAACATAAAATCATAAACCACATACATGATAAAATTATCATATCGGGGGAATGCTATTCATCATTATTTCAATTTACTTCAAGATCACAACTCAAAAAAAATTGTTACATAAACCAAATTGTTGCATCTTGCAACCATCAAAATTGAAACTCATACAAATTTTGCTGAAAAATTTGTTTCAAGAATTTAACTTGAATTCTTCCAAATTCAAACACAATTGAATTTTCTTAAACTCTTCTCATAATATGAATTACGAGTTTGTTCTCATCTCAAATACTACAAAAAGTATTTAATATCACTTAATCGAACAAAATTGGTTCATCATATTTCGTTGCACACAATTGCAACATGAACAAACCATGCACAAATCATAAAAGCAAATATGTAAGAAAATAATTCTGTCAGTGAAACTTTTAATATCATGCAACAATAGACATGGCAATTTTTGCCTAGAAAATCAAATCCATTGCACAATCGGAGATATCACTTTGCATGAAATCACAGTTCCATTAATCATGCAAAATCATGCTTATGTATTAGAGATTCTCATTTCTAAACTTGGAACTTGTCTTTCTCAGGAACCAACCTTGCCACCGAAATCAATTTATGTATTCATGAAATTGATGCCATCAAATTAATTGAGTTTGTTGAAATCTGAAGTATAAGCCTTCAACGTACTTTCCATTCAGAATCCATTTTTTCAATAAATAACACTCTAAGATTGTCAGGAAAGTGGTAGGAAAGAATTCTTTAAGGCGTGATTAAATCACTCTCTTTAGAGTGTGTTATTTGCCCCCACTACAAATTGTTGTTAGGATCGAGCAAACCACCCCCAAGAGTCCCTTCAATTCGAAGTCTGAAAGCAACAATCTTGCAGACTTCTATGTTTATGAAATAGAGAAGGAAAACGGGAAGAAAAAGAATTTTCTCGTTTTAATTAAAAAGACTTGTGCAACCATCTATTTATGCTTGTGAAAACTAGAAGTTACATTCCAAAGAGATACATCGTTTCACATAAAAAGTTATAAGTTACCTTTTCCGAAAGGACACCTCCTTTCACAAAAAAATGAAAGTTATCTTTCTAGAAGGTCACTACCTTTTACAATGTTCAAACGTTAATTAATTAATATAAAATTTATTTAATTAATTAAACGACCAAAAGACTCAAAATGTGGTATTACAACTCTATTGACTAACTTTTAACACTAGTGGCTTTCAGGATTTGCCAAATGTCAATGTGGCCATGCCTAAACTTCTGGTAGGTGACTATAATAATTTGGATAAATTATTTGAGCAGTATTTAAAGTTAAGGGTCTTATTTGATGCATATATAACTAGAGTTTGCGGGTGTAATTAGCCCAAATTGATAACTTGGTTGGTGTATTTTGGCGTTTTGGGCAACTGAAAAGAAAACTAGTGATTACTGTTACAGAAGAGTTGAAGAATCAGTGCCATATACTTACCTAGAGGTGTTAATTAAACCACCGGTACAGTTTTTGTTAGGTAATTTGTTATTTTCCTCTAATCTGGTGGGTGAAGGAGTATGAGACCGATAATACAAAAGAGTGTGTTCCAACTGCATGTAAATAATGTAAATCTACTTAAAAATCCGTATATGCGATTTACCAGTTTTGTTTTGATATTGCGAGACTATATCTATGGTCAGTCACACCAAGATCGCTTGTCTTTAATTTCCTCAGAACACACCAAGACAGCTAGCTTCTCAATATCTAGCAACGACCAGTACACTACGTTACGTACATATATATACACCAGCCCAGCTCCGCTCCAAAGACCGGGAAAGAAAGCAAGGAAAACTCAGAAAAAGAAAAGCAAAAAGAAAGAAAGAGCGAGCGAGCGAGCATCTGGGAAACCAAGAATGAGGAGGTCCAGGTCCAGTAAGTTGGTGTTGGTTGTTGTGAGGCTGAGCTTGGGCGTCCTAATGGCGGCCAGCGCTGCGTCGGCGCTGAACCTGAGGGCACCAGTAGTGCGGCGGCCATTCAAGCAAGTCCACGTCCTCAACGAGCTCACTGACAACAAGCTCCTCCACGTGCACTGCCACTCCAGGGAGACGGACTTGGGGAGCCATGACGTGGCAGTGGGGGCAGAGTACACGTGGAGGTTCCGGGCGAGCCCCCTGGGGAGCAGCAGGTGGTCCTGCGACGGCACCACGGACGACAATCGGCGCGTGACCTTCGAGTCGTACTGGGAGGACGTGGCGCTGGCGAGGAGGGAGTACATGGGGAACACTTACTGGGTGGCCCAGGAGGACGGCATCTATCTCAGGCCCATTCAGGGAACTAGAGACGAAATCCATGCCACCTGGCTCCCTGCTGGGCCCCCTACCGCTCCCCTGCCCCCAGTGCTACACTGAGATGAGATGAGCCTTGCCCGCCAACTCTCCTCCTCAACCATGGATCGATTCGTGCGCCTAAATAAGGTTGTTGGATTTTATTGGTTTCGTTTCAACTATATATTTATGTTAAACCTAGCTCAACTGCGCCTAAGTGGTTGCAATAATAATAACAATATGTAATAATGAGGAATATCAATCAAAGTATTACTGAATTAAACAAAGTGAGACAGGTACATCATCTAGCCGTAGCAGGTTAATAAGAAAAATCGGAGGCCTATCTAGCCTACAGATGATGCTGATTGACTCGCCCTGACTATCACAATAAAATCTCATAAAAAGCCCAAGTATAAACCTTAATTGAGTGCAATATAGGGCAATTTAAGTTTAAATATCAACCCGGGTCGACCCATGTACCGCTACTTCGATTGTCTAAAACATTATCTAACGGTTGGTTTTGATGAAAGCAAAGATCTAAAGCTAAAGTACTTGCAAAGTGAAATGGTTTTGACACTAATTGAGAAGGCTTCACCTGGGTGTTGCTCCCCCTTGCTAGCAATTACGACTTGATGGATCGAATGGCCGCGTGTGGTGAGTGGGTTGTAAACCGTAGGGAAGTCTAAACAAGTAGCCAAAGCTACCCTCTTAGTCTCTAGGTCGAGGAAAGTGGATACGATCCAAGCCACTAATGCGACTCTCTCAACCTATTCACTAAGGATTGGTTAAACTTCACCCTCAAATCGGAGTTCGGTCAGCCACCCACAACCAAACCCTAGGTGCTAATACGAAATAGGAGGTTTGCCCTGCATTAACCTAACTAAGAGACAATGAATTGCCTAAGAAAACCCAACATTCAAGCCTCTTTCAAAGAAAGGAAGGGGGTTTTATCTCTACCTAGGTTAGAATGACAATTAGATTGATAGGCTTTCACACAACACAATCATTCATGAATAATACATCCACATTCACATTGAACACAACCACACACAAATCATTCAATTCATACAAGCAATCACATTCACATTGAAACCCTAGCTTATCCTCTTCTTTGCTTCGTCACTTTCTCACTCTAGAAATCTGAAGAAGAAGTTTCTCACACTAGGTCTCCCCCTCTTCTTTCTTTCAGCTGATCTTTTATACTAAGATCGCACCCAGTTCACGGCCCTGAACATCAAGATGCGTCCGTGAACACAGTGAACTAGACCAAAATGCATCGTTTCACTTCTGGGGGGGAGGGTCACGGTTTGTGGTTCCTGTTCACGGTCTTAGCGACCGTGAACAGCCTTGGCGTTAGTAACCTCAAAAATCCCTATGGACGTTTCGCGGTTCACGGGTTGTGGTTCCAGTTCACGGTCCTGGCGACCGTGAACTCCAATGCTGGACCGTGAACACAGGCTGAATCCTCCTATTAGACTCTGAAACACACTGAACACACAAGAAACCTAGCGTAAAACCACCCCTTTTGGAGCCCAATTGCCACAAACGTCAAAGAGAAACGGGGATAAAAAGTGTACAATTATGCCCGAATCACTAATCTCAGTATGAGTCTCATATGCCTGTCGGATCTTCTCTACCAAAGTCGAACAATCGACTTCCCGCTGCAAGTTTCGGAATCCTAGTTATCCCGCAAGCTGAGAAATTTTTGGTCGTTCCGCAAGAGGGCGATCGGTTTCCATTGCTTGTCTATGACCAATTTTCAATGTGATGGGATAATATTTCCATGCAAAGAACAAAAATATAGGGTGAGAGAGGGTCCCCCTGACGGACACCCCTAGAGGGAGTGATCTAGTCTGTTAGTTTCCCATTCTAATTAATCTGCATATTGTTTTGTTCATCATAGAACATAATTTGGCTAACACAGGTATTTGACAAGCCATTCTCCGTCAGGGTGTCACGGATGAAGTCCCATCTCAGCCTATCATAGGCTTTCTCCAAACGAATCTTCATGACCAGTCCTCTTATGCGGATAGGGATGGTAATTTGAACATGTTCCGCCCAGTATTATCCGACCTGACCAGCGATGAGGCATGTACTATACGACCCACAGTAGCGTGGGATGAGGGATGAGTATCTACTTCCGACCCGAATCATTTTGCCTGTCCCTCCCACTTCTTGCCCCTTTCTATCTTAATTTTTACAATATCTATTCATATTTCTACTATTTTGATTTTTCTTCAAATAGTTAGACTTGATCTTTCAACTAGTTACACTCAATTACCCATTTTATTATCAGTATTTACATTCATAAAGTGTTTTCGCTTTGTTTTATCATATAAAGTAAAATTTTGCATATCTTTTTTTCGAATAACATGTAAAAGTGGGTCAATCCGCCCCGTACGGGTATTACCCGCCCCAACAGTGCTTAGTGGGGGGCGGGTATGGTATTGAGGTACCCGCCTTGCCTCGCCCCATTATCATTACTATCTGTGGCCCTTCTTTTTACGAAAAGTATGAATGACTTCCTGAATAATTAGGATTTTGTTGTTTGTTTGGCGACCTGGAATGAAGCTACTTTGAGTTGGAGCAACCCTTTTGTTCATCAAAGGTTTCAGCTTGTTGGTAATGTCCATGGTGATGGCCTTAAGCCATGCGTTGTTGAAGAAGATGGGCGGAATTGAGCAGCACGAGGATGTTAGTCAAGCTTTTTCCATCATTTCCTCGCCAATATCTCCTGTATAGAAAATGAGGTGACCATGTTAGTCGGTCTTTTTATAACTAAGGGCCATAATTTTTTATAGAAAATTGCTAGATAACGATCCAACCCCTGGACAGAGAACCATTTCATACAAAAAAGTGCCTTATGAACAACAAAGATATGAAAAAGGCGAATGAGAGTCATGAGATCCCCTTGACTGATAGGCGGGAAGCTATTTTTTATCATCTTGTTACTATACTGCATATAATCCTGTGTGTAAATAGGGGTGATAATCAGTCGGTTACCACTAACTGAATATTCGATTATCGGTATACCGTTTCCTTCGAAGCTACTGTCGATTAAAGAAAACTGGTTAACCGGATGATTGGTTAATGGTTATCAATCGGTTAACATCCCTGTACCAAAAATATTCAATTCCCCTCCCGTCGTGTTCCTCTGTATCTCCTGTCCCTACAACAGAAATACGGCGATGGCAGCAGATCAGAGATCCAATTCAACCCTTCCCACTCCAACCTCTCAGACGAGGATTTCAGGTAATGAGCCGCCGCCCAGATCCTCTTTCGAAAGAAGAAGAAGAAGAAGAAGAAGAAGAAGAAGAAGAAGAAGAAGGGGAATCTGGGTCGGACGACACTGCATACCATTTGCTTTTCTTCCCTCCCTTGTTGCTCTCGCCTGGATCTGGACTGGGATTCATCAAATTTGTCAACGAGCAAGGCTTGATGGGGACGATTTGGCTGCTTTCCACAGGAATGCGCGAGGGAGAGTGAGAGGCGGATCTTCAAAATCGCGATGGTGGGTGCAAGGGCTGGGAAGGGAAAGGCGGCATCATGGAAAGCTCGGAGGCGGTGAGTCGTCAGACAGGGAAGGTCGAATGTGAGAAGGGAGGGAAGCCGGGAATAAAGGGTATCTGGTTTCTGGGTGGCAAAGCGATTAGTCTTTCGATAGGGTTTCTTCTCCTCAACTTTACATGCTACATTTTGCATTTTTCAGAACTCGACCGTATCCGGTCTAATTGGAAAACCATCGTTATGTATCAACATGGGGGCGAGAAGCCCTAGTTGCCACTGGCTACAACCGAGTTTCCGGGTTACCGGTCAAACTGTTAACCGAGAATCCGATTGTCAGCCCTACCTGTAAAGCTTGGAGAAAAAATATATGATAAGATTTTGTAGTATCTCAGGATTGTCAACCCAAGCTCCATAGCCATCTCATATCTTGAGGATTTTATTGCGTCTTCTACGATAAGCCGCTTGTTGGTAGAAATAGGAAGTGTTTTGTTCTCCATATTTCATCCATTTTTCATTAGAACGTTGGAACCAAATCATCTCTTCCTGGCAAAGGAATTGGCTTGTACTTTGATGAGTCCTTGGCAAAGGAATTGGCAATTGGATTCTGAACCCCCAAAATCCTGCAGATTGAGTGAGATATCTTTTAAACCTTGATGGAGAGGGATGTTGGCATTCCATGAGTCTGCAAAATTTTTTGCAAATTTATCATGAAGGAGCCATGCCGCTTCAATGAGAAATGGTTGGCTCCATCACAATTACTGGGAACAACATAGCAAGAAGTGTTGATTGGAAGATGATTGGAATGAATTTCAAGGGAATGTTGAATGGTAGTATGAGGAAAGGCCGCGTTTCATTATGAATTGCATAATGATCGATCAATTCGGCTAGCCTTATGCGTCCGGGTAGTGTCTACCTAAACCAAGAGTACTTAGAACCTGAAAAACTAAGTCAAACAAATTAGCATCATTAATCCATTTTGTGAAACGTTGACATCTGCGCAGAGAGGGAAAAAAATGGCTACCAATATTTCCCTCTGACTATAGGCATTAAAATCGCCTATAATGAGCCACATAATCTCTGTATTATGCCTTGTGTGTATCAACTAACTCCAGAGCTGCCGGTGAAAGCAATATTTTGGGCTTCCATAGGCACCTTTAAGTAGCCATTCGAATTGATTTCAATGGGAAACTTTAACTGTAAGATGTTGGGGGCTGACAATTTCCAACGTCGCCAAAAAATCATCATATTTCCAAGCTAGCCAGATTCCACCTTTGTGCCCAGTAGCATCTACACGAATAAAATCGCCGAAGCCGATATTGCTACATACTGAAGTGGCTCAGTCGCAACTAATATGAGGTTCGAGGATGATAAGGAAGTTTGGAGAATGTTCTCTTAGTATCGTCTTCATAGTTATAACGAAGGATCGATCACCTGAACCACACACTATCCGAGCAAGAATTTTAATTATAAGAAACATTGAAATTACACAAAAGATAGCGGAATACGCGAGATCATCAGGGAATATCCTTGGAAAAGAGTTCTGGAAGAATTGTGAGGGGCCTTAGTCTGCTCGGATG